GGAATGGGAAAAGCTTGCTAATTTCTCAAAATCTTGATGTAAATAGCATATGCGCGACTGATTAATCGAGCCTCTTTTATGGTGCTACTGCAGATGTTTGGAAATACCCCATTCCAATTTCTTGTCCCTGATACAAAATTCTCGGTGCTGATGCTGGATATGAAAGCCATGAAAATTCTGAAGACGCTGAGGAGAGGAAGATCAGAGAATTAGATCCTCGAAGCGACTGATGAAAATCATTTGTTAGCATGTTCAATGAGTAATGAATTTGGAGCGGTATTTACCATTGAACGTTCAATCCCGTCCTTTTTCCGATGGCTGGCGAGAATTAGAAGTGAAATAAGTTAAAACTGTTTTACCACATTTCGATTTGATAATTCGGCCTTGGAAATGAGTGAAGGGGTCGGACTTGAAAAAGAAACTGTCTTTGGACTGCATCGCGCCTGAAACCATAAACAGTTTTCAGATGCTACTAATAATATTCCAGATCACGATGAAGATTGAGATGGAATCATGAAAACCAATCATAGAAGTCAACAGATCAGACATGTTTTGTGAGTGGTCAGTCTGAAGAATGCAAATGGTCTTAGACTTAAATACGATGTTATTTTGTGCAAAACGACACCGCGGTCAGTCCACCTCTTCAACTCTAGGTGTCTTTGCAGATTTCGCATGATTGGAATAGGCAAAAAGAAGGCGTTATGGTACACCTGATATTTTTCACCCAAATAACCCTCGGAGCATCTTTTGTCTAATTAATACGCACGCTTAAACTGGACTACCATCTACTTTAACCCAACTGTGAAATACTCGGCGCCTCGGTGGGATTCGAACCCACGACAGCAAGGGAAGACGTCGTCCGGCTGGGCCTCGTAGCTCAGATGGTTAGATCGTTGGCTGCACTAAAGCCTTCCCCTGATGTCGTGGGTTCAAATTCCCCCGAGGCACAGTTGGGTCAAGGTAAATCGTTTGAAATCTGCCAAACATCTGTGGAGTAATATCGTCTTACTGCAGAAGTCCACGGGTTTAATGACAGCCAAAAATAATTTTGTAGGACATGCGAATAAACACTGCCGTATTACAGGCAGTCTTATGCTAGATCTCAGGGGGTTCCCATTAATTACCATTCCAGCCCTTAACCAAACCCTACCCCGAGCAATGTCACACTCAATAACCAAAGATCCCGGTTTCGAATGTCCGGTGATCCACACCTGAGGTTGGCTTTGACTGGCCGATGATGACTCATAAATCGGAAATGGCCATCCCTGTCTGCCTTGTTTCTGTCGGCGCCACCTTATCTGAAGATGCTGCAGTAGGTGGGCTAACTCATGACATATTAACCGATATTCCGAAATGCGTTTTCGTTTCAAAAAGATTACTTAGGTAGGGTTGTACAATTAATCATCGTGCAGCATAATTCTGTAATAATTCAGGATGCCGGCTTTTGAATGGACTTCTTTCCGGCCGCATGCAGAAATCATACTCTGTAAAGAATGACTACTTAGGTAGAATGAATTTTTCTCATTGATTTTCGATGCCCTTAAAAATGCAATTAAATTTCATGGAAAGCATGCATAAAAATATTCATTTTTTGCTCATTTGGTAGAAAATTACGTCTTCCAATTTTTCGCTCGACGGAAGCATGAAATATGAAGCACAGCTGAAAAAGTACCTAGGGGCGTTTTTGCTAACTCCCTAGTTGACAAGAATGCCGATAGTCTGCATTTGGTGTGCCTCCAGCCAAAGGATGATCGTGACGCAGGAACATCCTCACTAAGATGGAGGTTTAACAGTCAATAAGATGTGGGGACTGACTTTATAGACGTCGGCGAGGCCTCTGACCCCACAAAACGTTGGTCAATTTCAGAAAAACCAAGACCATCGTCCAGCCGGGCACTTACTTCGTCGAATTAAGGGTTTTATAGGACATAGGACTTTCGGTTTCAGATTTTGGCATGGCAAGTCACCTAGAATGCAGACCTAAGTCTGTCTGCTAGGGCTGGCGCGCATTCTCAGGTACATTAACAGACTGCAGGCAGAAACTTCGAACCGCTGCATAACGCTCGGTGATGATATGAACATTCTGACGGGGATATTTTATAAATTTCAAGATAACGCGACGACTAAGAAGTCGCTATTTGTTCCTTCTTGTGCGAGTTTAGGTGGTAGGTCAGATTATCACCAGTCTTGACCTTTTGCGCTTTCCTCATCCCGCCAGGTTTGTCATGGATGAAACGCTAGTTGCTACCGCGCCCATCAACCAAGCAACGCTGTTAACCCTACTCAAGTCTTAACTGCTGGTCTGGGGAATATTGCACACTTTTAACTCGTAATTAAACTCATGAGCGGAGCAGAAGAAGCTACCGTAAAATCTCAGGTAGCCTCTTGGTGTTTGGTTGGCCGTTTGCCGACAAAATAGGCCGCAAATGTGCATTCCAGACTCCCTGGCTTTGGTGGCGGTACCTCCAACCGATGGCTGCTCGTCGTTATTTAACTGTCCGATGTCTGCATCAGACGGCAGACCGTCTCGGACAGTGGACTGATGGCTGAGAGGGACGAAAGAGAGAGAGAGAATTCGACCGACTCTGGGGATTCCGTCTCCTTGGCGTCCAGCGCATATTCCACACCACAAACAGCCGGGCGAGCTTCTAAACTAATACGATGCGCTGAAAGCCGCGGCTTTAACGGCTGCGGGATAACTCGGTTCTCCCTCACAGGACGGCGAGTCAGGATGCAGTGGATCCTGTTGGATGTGGTCCACTGCGACATTCCCACTCAGTTGGGATTCGGGCCGCCCCTTTCCTGTTGCTTGAAAACCTGGTCCATCGAGGGCGAACCAGGCGTGTGTGGCACGCCCAGACGAGTTGTGCCAGCCACTGCAACCGATCCAGCCTCCGGTTGTATCGACTCAAGTGGGCGAGGCAGAAGAGAGAGAGAAAGAGAGAGAGTGCGGTAGAGGCGGCGCAGTTCAGGTGCAAGTCACTGTCCCTGCGCCCACCCTGCTGTGGGGCACGCGGTAGACGCCGTCGTTCTGTAGAGTGCATTCATGTACAGTAGAGTCGATCGGTCTGATCCCGTCATCGAAAATGTCATCTGCTACCGCATTTCCAAAACTTGCGGGTGATACCACATCTCATCCGTGCCAGCTGAACCCATAGTAGGTGACGTATCAGATGAAACAATGAAGGAACTTCTGACGCCCGACTTTGACCTGGGTGGGATTGCACCATTTATTATCGGGCGGCATAACCCCGTCAAGATACCGACCTTTGAATGCGCGTCTTTCCGTTCGCTTGCAAAATCAGAGTTCCTAACAAATAACTGTTCAATTAGTATGAATATTTTCATCGATTTTTGCTGTTCCTATAAATCCAAACATATTTTATGGGGAACGTGAACAAACATATCCTTTATTGTGCTTATTGTATAACAAATTATATCCTCAAATTCTATACTCGAAGAAAAGCTAAACTCCCGCAAAATTTTTAACCCGACCTTCTATCCCACTTGCTTTTGGAATTTCCAAACCGCAAGACGTATATTTAAGAGCAGTCACACATTCTTCTGCGTCATTTAAAAAACACCCTATATAGCTAATAAAACTGTGCGATGGCTATGGACCATGTCGCATAGTTCATGGAGGGTACTAATGGACCGACAGACACGATGCTATCTTAACATACATTTTACGGCCCTAAAAACCTCAAAATATCAAACTTTTTAAAACTGAGAGATAGGTATCGTCGAATATTACATTGAAAAAATCTATTTTGTTAAAAAGGCGCACAATAAGGTATGTTTTCAAGCATTTTTTCTGGAAAATGAGCATGAATTTATAAGGAAAGCGGGAATCGACTAAAGACATTCGAACTAATTAAGTATTACTTTGTTAGCGGGTGTGATCTTCACAGACGGCCGGAGTCTCGTCGCGATTAAAATCTTTTGGACCTATGCTACATGATGCTTATTATGACAACCTCCGTTAAGCAACCCTCTCTAGACGAAACATCGTTTCAGAATTTCGACTGACGTTTTATGAGATACGTCACATATGTGCTCCCCGTTGCCTTCTATTTTGTGGCATGACGGCTTTCCGTAAAGAAGTCTCCCAGCCACCCTAGACGATTTTGTCGAGGAAGAAAGAAGGGTGATCGATGACTTTGCGCCTATTTCTGTATACATTAGTTTGTTTTTTAAGGGGTCAGGAAACGATTTGCTTCGTATAGAAAGCGTGTCCTGTTTAAAATAATCGTTAAACCGCATATAACAGGGCAGTTTGAAATGTTTACGTGAGGAATTCGAACTGTGCCATTAAACATACTTTTTATATAGTATTTTGGGTGTTTTGATCTTCCTTAAAATGTTTCCCAGGTTTGCAAAATATGTTGCAAGATTTTTCATGATTCAGTTGCAAAAATGTCGTACGAGAGTGCTGATAGAGGCCACATAACCCAGGTGTTTGCAAAATTTCAAGAATCAGTAAAATGGCTGATCACATATTCAAAAACTACTATAGTTATCTTAAGACCACAATATGCAGTGCACATTTCCGTATAAATATTTATAAGGGACCATTTTCTGTCATTCTGACACAGGAGATATGACCTCATTCATGTTATGAAGGATCATGAGAAACCATATGTGCTGAGATAACCTTAAGCTATGAAATATTTTGGATAAAATTTCCGTCCCAGAGTCAAAGAATAAAAACTCTTGTTTATTGAAAGAACACAAGTTCCAGCGGCCAACATAAACAGTTGGAGCCTTTTGCAAAGTCGTTAAGTGGCGTTTTTGACGTCAAAGGTGAATTATTCCAGTGAATATGGTTCTAGGCTAGAACAACATTTTCCCAGACGGAGCAAATGAACCGACTTGTTTATTTTATGGATAACACTTAAAGGATAATTATTTAGGTCATAAGGAGGACACGAAGCGACCGGATAAACGTTAGGAAACCCGGAAAATCACAGCAACCTGCAATCTTTCCAAAAAATCGCTCGCTATTCCGCATCGCAGGGCCGATGTTCACCGTCTTCCGTTGTCGTTATTATTATCGGCTGTACGCGGGTCGTTTCTACGGCCTCTTTAGCCGTCTTCGCTGCCAGTTGGCTGCGCTGAATCTTCTTACGCCAGAGGATAATGTTAATGCCAAGGAGCAGAACAGCGCGGATGCACACCAATACTGTCATGGAGATGAAGAATCCGCGAAAACCTGACTGATCGATAATCAGGCCCGAGAGCAGCGGTGCAAGCGACATGCCGATACCTGCAATCATCTTAGTCATGGGGAAGGCAATAGAGCCGTGCACCAACATCACCTCCTCCGCGGTGGCATAAAGGAAGGTATTGGCGGAGCCGATCGCAGCACCCAGAAAGCCCCCAATGATGAGCACCGCAGTGATGTTCTTGTAGTAGGTCTGAGCAAACATCAACAGCATCGCGGCCAGCACAGCACCCACCAGGTAGGTCAGAGGCAGGTAGCCCCTAATGCGATCACCGATGAGAGCGCCTGCAGTGAAGATGGCTGATTCACCCGCCCCAAAGTACAGATTGATCTTGGAGCCGCGTTTGATTTCATTGTCTAGAGCCTCAGTGACATAAGTAGTGAGATTCATTAGAAGGCCGTACATGACAAAGTTGTGCAGTAGGCGTTCCAGTGCCCAAAGGAAAATCTGCCGATTCTCTCGAAGGTGGCTCCAAGAGCAGAGAGCCCAGCCTCGGCCGGAGGCCGCTCTCGGCTCCACTAGTGGCCGATTGGCAAGGCCTTCGCTGCCACGCTCTTTAGCGTTAACATCCTCCACGGAGGGAAACTCCTCGTACATTTCATCTGGTTTGGGATAGAAGATAAGTGCCGAAATACATTCAGAGGCCAGGAAGAGAACGCCGCAGATCTCAAATGCCCTGCGCCAGCCGTAGTCGTGCGTCCAGAGGGAGAAAAGAGGGCCAAAAATCAGCACCCCATAGGGACCTCCGGACACGAAGGCTGTTGCCAGAACATGGAACCGATGGGTTTTATCAAAGTACTCGCCTGTGATGAGGGCCGTTGTGGAGAGGATGAGGGTTGACCCGATACCATGTAGAACGGTGTGGGTGAAGAAGAGGTAGCCAGGGGAGGGCACCACAGCTGAGGTGAAACAACTTATGAAAATGAGAATCCCTGCCGCCAGGATTGCTCCACGGTAGCCGCGATCCATTTTGATGATTATAGTAGACACGAAAGGCATCAGGAAAAAACCCAAAGCGGCATAACTGTCTCCGATCCAGTTCAGCTCGGTCATTGTTGTGTTCACGTAGTCAGTATGGAGTGCTGAGACGAAAATACCAAAGGCACGTCGCTTGCCGCCGATCAGGATAACATCCCAGGCTGCAGAGAGGAGAATGAGCCAGGGGAGATAGCGCCATCTGTAGAAAGCGTCTTTGAAGGCTACAAACTTTTTAGTTAGTATACCGAATGGGTCCACTGGAAGGTTTTCGACCGCCTCTTGCCTACCCATTTTCACAACAGACACCAAGAGAGAGAGAGAGAGAGATGTTCTGCCAGGCGGACGCCCTCGGCGACGAATGCGTGGAGAATCGGATGACTCGGTCTAATTTTCACCCTCGCGCACAGACTGACCGTTGCTCTGGTTCGACTAAGCCCCAATTACAACACTTCCGGTCGAGCCCTATCCTCATTGTCATAATCACCACACACACACACACACCCTATCCCTTTAGTCTGCCTAATCCCTGCAGGATTCCTTGTCATATTTTGGGCGCGTCAACCAACTATCTGCATAATGTAGGTGGTGGCGGTGGCGATGCACGAATCTTGGCGACGCCATTTACCAAAATTGCGGAGCTGCACGTTTGCGCACTCGTCGGTTGAAATGGATACTTTCACAAGGGAGGGATGCAGGGAGAGGTTACTTATGCCTCCTAGATCATTAGGATTTGAGGCAACCAATGGGAGTGCTTGGACCTGATGCCCGAATAAGATGGCCTTGTTTGGTAAGCTCGGTTTACCGCCTAGTTCGTTTTTACAAAAGAGGCTACAGAGTCAGTTTCCTTTGGTTGAAATGGACATATTCATAACAGAACATAAGAGCTTATGCGAACTTCGCGAGGCACTTAAGGCGCCTTTTTTCAACATTCCGTGGAAGAGAACCCAGCACTAGTGATAAACGGTTGGGCGCTTTTTGTGAGAGGAATAGTTTTAGATCGACTGTGACGAGTGAAATTATGGTAAAAATTGCATTCTGAGACCGACCTAATTTTAAGTCAATTTTTACTGCTCGGGCAGCCTGGAACCATCACGGGAAGACGACCTCTTTCTAAGATGTATGTTCCCTAAGTACTGCCTGGGATGCAAGCCTTCTGGAGGGAGCGGAGAAAAATTTCCTATCTTTGCTACTATGTGCGCGTTCGAGTAAACGTTTGCAGTCGTGGAAGAATACGTAGTCGGAGCCTAAGAAACAGACAGTTAGCATGCAGTACTTATAATATTTTTCAAAACAGAGCTCATAAGATCCAGAAGAGAGAACAAATTAGATATTCACAATATTTCAGACTATTCAAGTTAGCAGTCATCAGTACGAAGGTGCGCCTTCCACTGGTCGCGAACTCAGCTCAAAAACGCTTTGTCTTCCCAACGTTTACGGATAAGTTGATCGACTTAGCAACCTCATTTAATAGCCACACCACATTTTACAGGCTTTCTCAAGTTGACATTAGAAGCGGGATAGTGTTAACGTATCCGAAGCCCGTCGGAAGGCGCCCGGAGACGATTTAAACACCGCCAAAACTGGATCGCGTTCCTTTAAGAGTATGGTCAATGACGGCGTGAAAATATCATATCCCGAAATGAATTTCTAAAGGTTAGGATAGACTGGTATGGACCAGAACCCGCGAATGCTGGGATAGTCAGTACAGTAGGTGGACTAACCCTTGAAATGTCAACCGAAAGTTCGAAATGCGTTTTCTTCTCGAAAACATTGATTAACTAGGGTTGTAAAACTAATCATCATGTAGCGTAATTCTATAATAATTCAGTTACCCCAGGATACCGGCTTTCAAATAAACTTCTTTCCGGCTGCATGCAAAAACTATACTCTTCAAAAAATGACTACTCAAGGAGCATGTCTTTTTCTCATTGATTTTCGATGCTTCTAAACATTCAGTTATATTTCGTGGAAAGCATGTATAAAAATATTCTTCTATTCATTTGGTAGAAAGTTACGTCTTCTTTGAATTCGATATTCGAAGGAAGGGTATAGCTTGGTTTTAAAAAGTTTCTAATTGTGAGATTTTTTTGATACCGTAAAATGCCCGTTCATAAAACGTCATGTCTCTGCCTGAAAGGTTAACAGTATGGCTCAAATCTGCTGCTAAATTTTATGAACTCTATATGGTTTCCTCCTGATACCGTAGAGAAATGTATGGTTTTCCGTACGCGGAAAATATACGGCTTATAGTTTGGAAGCTCTGAATGCAGGGGTAACGGTAGGCTGGGGTTCGAAATTATTCGGGAATTGGTAAAGTTTTTGAAAACCGAATTATACCATTCTTTCGAGTATAAAATTGGAAGAAGGCGTAATCTTCTACCGAATGAGCAAGGGAATGGATACTTTTATGCATGCTTTCCATGAAATATAACTGAATATTTAAGGGCATCGAAAATCAGTGAGAAAAATACATGTTCCTTAAGTAGTCATTTTCTGCTGAGTTTAATGTTTATATGCAGTGGGAAAGAAGTTCCTTCAGAAGCCGGCATCCTGAGATAACTGAATTATTATAGAACTATGCTGTATAATGTTTAGTTTTACAACCCTACCTTATAAGTCTTTTATAAACGAAAACGCATTTCTGAATTTCGGTTGCCATTTCTTGAGTTAGCCAACCTACTGTATGTTTGACTTTTGGGCGGGACTGGCCTATGTGGACGTCCAAACAGGACATGAGAACAGGAACCGCCTGCAATACTAGTGGCTTTGAGTCAACTGCCAAGGAAACAAAGGTTAGATTTAGGGTTAGGGTTAGCTTCAATATTTGGGCAACAGTTTGGTTTTATTCTAGGGTTACTGTGGGTGTTAGGAAACAAGACTATTTTGTCCTCGCCGGAATTATGCGCAGGTGCGCCTTTATTATCTGGGCGGGGCGTACCTATTCCCACGTCCTGTGCAGGGGGCCACATGACACAGCCCTACCGACTTGACTCGCGCCGCCTAGTTCCATTATCCGCCAGACAGACTCTGAATGGACGCGCAAAAGCCCAGTAGGTCAAGGCGACAGACTTCAGTCGGTATCAGCCTTGGCGACATTCAAGAGTACGCCGTAGTGTACTTAATCAACCGGTGCATACACGTCCATTTCTGAATCCGGCTCGTTCGGTCTCTCCCGAGAGCGACACGCGTTTTCTAACCGCCTGAGAATGACACTGGGATGAGGCCTTTAGAGCAACGCCAGTGAGGCCTGTGCAGCGTTACTTATTGCACTTTGTCTAGGTTCAGTCACACGGAGAGAGCTTAGCCTCCAGAAGATGAAGATGCGATCACTGGGACAAGAAGTTTATTTGCCTGACGTTTCGGATTCTCACTCGAATCCATCATCAGAGACATTCGCAGCTTAGCCTCCACATTCGCTTAATCACTTCAGGGAGCCAGGGCGCCAGTATTAACTAAAAACACGCAGACCTCAACGGAGGCGCCGTCCTCTCCAGGCGCCTCGGCGACGAATAGTCTTTGGCCTAGACTCTATGCACTGCAGTTGTGAATTCTTCCTGGAATGAAGAGTCAAGTGACATAAAATAGGCCGGACAGGAATAAAACTGTATGTTATTGCCGACAAAGACAAGGGAGACTGGAATGGCCATTTCAGGCTTAGTAGTAGTCGTCAGCCAGCCATACCCAACCCCAAAGTGTGGGACACTCGAGGCTCGAATTCGCGACCTGTTAGTTAGAAGTCCACGTCTCTACCCACTAGGCCACGAGTCCGTTGCCCTGTCGCTTTCGATCGGGAAATTACAGTGGCAGGGGGCGCTCACTCGTTCCGTTGTGCCTTACGGGCACGGAATAAAACCCCGTTTCAGGGTTTGGGGGGGGGGAGGTACGGGTCGGCCATTGAATTGTTTACGCCAGCACTCGACCTTAGCAGAGGTGTCAGAAGTAAATTCACCAATCACCTCGCGAACAGAGATATTCACGACTGCGTACCCACCGTTAACCTGGCTAGCTTCACCGCCATTCTGAGGTCGGCTCTATCCAGGTGTTCCCTTCAGCACAATAACTTTTAATGCCATCTCTAGCCTCTTCTTCGTGATTTTCTGGAGTTGCCGAAAGGGACCTTTACTGTCGCGATGCCCAACTGGAATTGTCTGGTCAGAACTGCCAGATCTTTCAACCGATTCATTCACTACAGTGCGGTTGGACTGAAGGCTTCAGTGATTACCCTTTTCTACTCACTCCTACTTCAAATCCAACTGCAAGGCCATACCGAGTTTCTGTGCTCAGCGCCTCGAACTGTGCTTGGTTGTCTTCATTTTACAACACTGAGGCCTCGTGCACGTGCCAAGTGGGGCGGGGCTGAGAAATGAAATTGTGGCGCGTGCGAAAGAGAGCATGGTGTGAATGCTAGACGCTGCCAGCTTTGGACGAAAAGTCGATCTGTTATCATGAACTCAATAAAGTTAGTTACTCTGGTTGGATGTGCTGCCATCCTCTGAAAATCTGGTCGGAGTACATTTGCAACGATGCTGGAAACTACTAGTCGGCATGCTTCCACCACTTTCACTCATGGAACCATGTTGAAATCGATCAGTAATGCGACTGTTTAAAAAACCACATTTCTCAGTTAGGCCATTCCAGTTGGCGGCGACAGTCAGGAGCCGCGAGCAGAATGTTCCTATATCGCGCTGATAATGCTGCGTACATGGAGATGACGGAAATGTCAGTAAATTTCCGTTCAGTCGGACGTAAGCCTGCCTCCAAAGCAATGAATGCATAGCTCATCTGTTATTAAGGGGCAACCGCCGCACTCTGTAGCATAGGAAGGTCTTGTGAGCCACTGCGATAGGGGTCAGGTGGGAGTTACCCCCCCCCCCGAACCCTGATTTGTCGTAAGCTTTAGTCGATTCGGACTGCAAAATGGCAGCAGATATTCACGCCAAAATTGCCACATACAGCCTCATTTGACTTTCGGAGGCAAAGCAAACCGACTCTGAGGAAGCGTGGACGCCCAGCTGTGCAACCCAATGCATATAATACAGGATGACCTCGAATTCACATGAACACAGGACGCACTGGGGTACCTCAGACCAGACGTGGAACTAAAACGTCAACCATAATGCTGACTGTCTTAACAAGTGGTTGAAACTGCTGAAGCAATGCTGTAATTATTCCGTCCGCTTGGCCTAAAATCGACTCCGAGGCCTTCGATGCTCTGCAGATAATGGATGTTACACCTTAAGGTTTGTCCTCGCTTACCCAGATACACGCAATGAATACATGGCTCATTGCCACACTGTCCATAATAGGTAGGTCTTGTGAGCCACTGAGATATGAGTCAGGCGGGAGTTGCCTCCCCCTTCCAGAACCCTGACTTATCATAAGCTTGAGTCGACTCGGACTACGAAGTGGAAGCAGAAATGCACGCCAAAATTGTCATATACAGCCTCCTTTGACACTCGGAGACAACGCAAACTGACTCTGAGTAGCATCCATACAGTGAGGAAGCGTCGACGCGCAGCTGTACACCACATGAACACAGGACCCATTGGGGTGCCTCAGACCAGACGTAGAACTAAAACGTCAACCATGCTGCCGACTGTCTTAACAAATGGTAGAAACTGCCACCAAAATGCTGTCATTATTCTGTCCGCTTGGCAGAAAATTGACTCCGAGACCTGCGAGGCTCTGCAGTCCGTCAAGATGATGGATGTTGCTCCTTACTGTGTTCCTTCGCTTGCTCAGATACACGACTGGCTGGATTTTCTGTCTTCGTAGGGCCAACGAGTTCAGCGAACTCGTTAACCCAAGTCGTATCGTATTGCATGTTGTCATGGCTGGCCACAAACAGGACACATTGACGCAAATCGGACACCGTCAGAGCCGCGAATAGCGTCCCAGCGAAGGTCCAGTCAACTGCGTTGTTAAATAGAATGGGTGGTGACACGCAGACTTGTTGAAAGCCAGACCGAATCTCAAGCGTGAAAAAACTTACATACCCTCCCCCACCCAACTGTGCCTTTGAATTGAGCTAATAGCCAGTGAAAGGACAGATCGCACGCCAGCAGTGTGAGGTTGAGGTTTGAGCGTGTTAAACTGATAATTTCATTAGAGGAATACTTTGCCAATAGAGGCGAAGAGACGAGTCCCAGGAAGCAGTCTTGAAGAAGGAGACACGATCGCTGGGATCCGAGCAGGAATCCGAAACGTCAGGCTAATAAAGCTCAACAGCAACAATCCACTCAGCCACAAGCGCAGTCGTGTAAGGACGCTCTATTGGCGTGTCAAAATAACTCCTACGGGTCTTCAAAGCCAGTGGCTACCCGCGCAACCTTCTCAACCGGTGCATACGCAAAAGGAACGAAAGGCCTAACTGTACGGGCACCAAATGTTGGCGAGCGCTTCCGTATGTCGAGAACGTTTCGGAAGCTGTCGACCGCCTTCTCGCACCACTTGGGGTCGGAGTTGCTCGCAGACCGGAGGCAACCATCAGGCGTCAGGTAATGAAATCGAAAGACCCGCTGCCACGGTTAGAAACGTCTAGAGTCGTTTAGCGGATCTAGTGCAGTTGCGGACAAAGTAATTACGTCGGAGAAACCGGAAGACAGCTCCGAACGCGGGTGGCTGAACACGCTGCAGCAGTGCGGGAAATGACGCCAGCTCTCAAGTTGCAGCTCATTCGACTAGGTCAGGCCACGCATTAAAATTCGATGAGGTCGAAATTCTCGCTAGGGGCGACAACCGCATGCGCCGGGAGCTGCTTGAACCATGGTTTACTGGCCCCCAGTTCATTAACAAGCGCAATGGCCTACCCCTCCCATACTCGGTATTGAGACTTCGCCTAGGCGGAGTAATTAGCCACAAGGGAACCGTACAGGTGACCACTTTTCCCAGCCCCAGGGGCAGTGGGTCAGCTGGTCGAGCAATCATCACACCAACATCCAACCACCACCACCACCACCACCACCACCACCACCACCACCACCACCACCACCACCACCACCACCACCACCACCATCATCATCATCATCATCATCTTCTTCTTCTTCTTCTTCTTCTTCTTCTTCATCGTCGTCGTTTTCAAAAACATCAACAGGATCAACAACAACAAAATCATCATCATCATTAGTATGAGTGAATAGTGGAGTTCCCGTGTTCCTCCACCAAGTGGATTACGTTGCCATTGCGATACCTTAAACGTGTGGCTACATCGGCTCTGAAGGGATATACGTAAACTCACTCATTCTTTTAACTGCTGCCCATAATCAACTGCTTTTCAAGCGGCACCAAACCTCTGACAACACTTTGAGTAATGAAACAGTGGATACACGATCACTGGCGATCGCCATGTGACTTATGATTTTTCCCTCAAGGCGACTTGACCTGTCGCTTTAATGATTATAGCTTCCAAAATTTACGGAATGCTGACCCTAAAATGTCTTGGAGTCAATTTTCTGCCAAACGGGCAGAATGAGGGCAGCAAGTTGGGCGTGCAAGGTTTTCACAAGCATTCTCCCCCCTCTATGGACTCAACGCGACATCACAGTCGCCATGAAGATCCAAACATTCGTTCAACTTGTCCTCTTTTCCAGGCTAAGCATAAACTGGAGGTTCTTAACCGCTGATGCCTGAAGACAATCACTAGGATGAACTACATCCAATTACCTTTCTGGGAAATTGTGTGTTCAATCGGTGCGACACATTTGCGTGGACGTCTCTGGCCATCCCAAGAAGACAACTAACATGGCACGTGCACGTTCTCCAAATCTTGCCCTAGGGGTCTGGTTTTGCATGCCTCAATTCTATTCTGGTGCACAAGTTGGGGCACCGAACAGGAGGTCGGCCCAAAACCTGGTCCGCAATAGTCCCTGAAGTCGTAAGGGCGAGTCTGGGACCTACGGCCTTCGGAGTTGATCGAGCTTTCCAGGTCGACAATCGCAGATTATCGGCCGCGGACAGGAAATCTACGTGTTTCCTGCGAAGCCATCTATTCTAGGGATGATCAAAGCCTTTTAGCGTAGTTTCCCAACAGTTTTCGACGACGATACGAAGCTCCACCTTTTTTCTAGAAAATGTTTCGCGTAAACGTGAATGGATCCTAAAGCCAATTTTTTCCGAAATCACTTCTGATGGGGAACTTGGTTGGGCGCGGAGACATGGAACCCCCGTATTGCAGGTAATCTTGCGCTAAATCCCAAAAATTGTTAGGGTTGGATTTAACGTTAGGACAGGGGAATAGTTAGCCCCCCTGAAATTTAGAGTAAGGCAGTCTTACCCCCCTGAACAACTACAAGCTGGCATTAAAGTAGTTTTGTAGAAACGTTTTGAGGGCAGAGACTTAAAAACGTTGGCTCCACTACATATGGGCCCACTCCACCGAGATTTTTGCTCCGATTACTAGGTTTGTCAGTTGTCTGACTGATATCTCACTAGTAACAATATGTCAATGCCTAGCTCCAGAAAAACTTAGAGGGAAATTTAAGTGTGCCTTCAGAGAACCGACATGCAAAGTACGTGGCACACTCAATGAATATCGTTACTTTCTAAGGTGTCCTACTTCATACTTTCAAATGCTGGGTTCTAGGGAGCGATTCAATCCTGTAACTTACCATGGGGAAGGAGTGCTCTACGACTTTATGTGTGAATGAAATAAAACTAAAAAATCCCATTTCCGCATGGCTTATGGCTTTCATGACATGGCACTTAAGGGATTGAATAATGTTATTACGAAACCGACGTTAGTGATTCCTCCTCCAGAATGCTTGTGCAGAAATTTCCCAGAGAAAAAGGATTCCGAAAAATTCGCCGTCGCATCGATCAGGTACACAAGTCAAGGTATCCCCACAAGTCCATCGTTCTTATTCAGGACAGAGAAGGAAGTAATCGAAGCTGGAACCTTTACTTGAACACAGTGTACCAAGCCCTGGCAACCATAGGAAGGCCAAAATCCGCCCTTCAATGTTTCACGAGCAGCAAATCTGCCTCTTATCTGGAAGCAGGAAATTGACTCTATGAAGTGAACGTCGGACGCGGCTATAGCAGCAGTCGACTTCGCTACTACTCCAATCCCCCTCTGGGAAGAACGGTAGCATTCTCAGCAAGGTAGCCGAAGCTGCTCGATCCCCTATCGGGGTGAGAATGAACACTCATCACACTTTTAGTTCTATTTAATCCGCCAGCCGCTAGCTTCCATTCTGAGGATGACTCATTCATGGTTCCACCCTTAACCTAATCAAGAACGCTTTAACTTATCAACTTATAGTCTATTTATCTCCACATATTGTTGGCGTTTATCATTTCCGCCATTAGTCGCGACGCGACCTTTTACCGCTGAAGCCTCTTTTGCACTCTGTTCATTTTGAGATTGCAGATCTTGCATGACACTTAGTTAAGTTAGTCCCAATTCTCATTAGCTCCCGGCCTGGGTAGAATAAACTGTAAGTTGGGGATTTCGACAGTGGTGATCCTCAGTATTGTTATGTTCGCTGCTAGCTGACTTTTTTCACTTTGGCATTCAACATAACGCGTTTGTCAGTAATAGTGTAGGCTCGTTCTGTCGTCAAAGGAGGCTTTTAAATGAGAGCTGTTAAGCAGTTTCGCCGGTCGGCAGTTGTGAGGAGCTTGATTTTGGCAGTTTGCTGGCTAAACTGTTAACGATTATTAGAATAAGCTGACGTAAAGGTCAGCTACAAGGTCAAGTACACAAGACAGCAGAAAAGTAGCGGGACCATTGCACTGAAATGGAGACGCAAACAGTAGAAAACACGTTAACTAATCAAATCGAAGATACAGCTGATTGGTCGGTTTCTACCAGTATTCCTAAACTGAGCCATTAGAGTTTGTGCACTAAGCTTTATTCGTCCTCAATTTGCGAGCCACGTGCACTACTCTATTGGCCAACATCATCGAACGCTAGTTTGAACGAACAGCTGTGCAGATCGATAATCCGTCTGGCAGTCAGCGCATAGTTGTCTGTCTGAGACAGACATCTTGGCTGCTTGTTTCGCAGGCACTCCTCGTAGACCTATGTGATCTACGATTTCCCAACATGACTAAGCAGCTTCTAGAATCAACTCCAACGACTAAAGAGGATATTCAACCTCTGTCGGAAATTATGTGCAACTGCGAGCTCTGCTACGCCCGCCTTTGTGTTTCCGCGAAACAGACGGTGGAGGACGAACCGACCTACGATCCGTGTCTGATGGATAGCTTTAATTTGCCTCTCCAGTGTAAGTCAAATATCTCTTGCATGCCCTTTCCGTGTGCTTTCGCCGGCTGCCCCACGAGTAGAGACGTGTGCGTGCCGAAGAACTTTCAACTTACCCGGCTACCATACAATGCGGCAGGAATGGAGAATTTTCTACACGTGCATCCCACACCCGAATGGCTTCAACGCTACAAGATGGCAAGTCACATGGCCTGTGAAGGAGACTTTTGGATGACGGCAATGTCTCCCAGTCCACAACTCTATCTCTCCAAGGATTCCGTCCTCCATCTTCGAATTTCTGCCTATGTTGCGCTAGAACGATCAGGAACAGCGTTTCGCTTGATTAATTACCGTAACAACTCCGCACTCGCATTGAGCGAGAACGGAGAATATGGATTCGCGTATCATTACAATTGTCGGGGGCTGATCAACATGCATCATGAAAAACTATCGATCACCTTCGACAAGGATAGACAGATCCTCTTGCGGACAGAGAAACCAAGTTTTGTGAAGAAGGAGAATGAGTATTATAGGCTGACGTCACATCACTGGACCCAATGCCGACCCGTTCTCATGGACTTCTTTGACCGCGACAAGACACCAGAAATTTTGAAGAAGTCGGGGCCTGACAAGACCAACGACGAGGCCAAACTGACGGACCTAATCAATTCCTCAGTTATGCAAAAGGATGCCGGTGGGCTAACAAGTAAGTTGCTCTGGTTTTCAGAAGCAGTAAGATCCTCAGCGATTGCTTAGTTTATCTAGGAGATGCCCGAATCGAAACGCGATTAAACGGTGATGTCACTCTCTCATGGATGTACGGAGAAACTATAAACTCGTTGATGGTCTCCCCTCTCACGGGAGGCGTGAGCCTGTCGGCCAGAAACCTTGAGATCATCGCCACGGCAAAGAATGACATCTACATTGCTTTTGCAGACTTCTTCGTTCACACGAGGTAAGAGAAAGTCTCTGAGATGGATTCAGCTTTTTTGCGATTTTACTTGATGAATTTTCTGTTAATTTAAATCTAACGGGACTGTCCTGTGATACACTTTTTAGAGAAAGTCGACAAATACCACGACATACGGACTAATATTTGAGAAAATGATTGTTGACGATTTTCCGCCACCTGAGGTAAACAAACTCCAGCCACCTGTAATACGACACCGGTAGTAAAGGGAACCTTTACAGGTGGAGCCAGGGAACGCACAGACGACGTCAAGCAATTGTATACAAAAAAAGCTATTGGGGATGCGCGTTTGTACTTTGAATGGTTGGGAAGTAGTTACCCTAACCCCTAACCCTAACGCCTAACCCTGGCCCTGACCCTAACCGGAGGCCCTTACCCCAGCCCTAGCCACAACCCTTACCTTAACCCTTTGACCCTAACCCTTAAACGCAGACCTAAACCCTAACCCAAAAGCATTGTGTCAGTCAGGTGGGGCTACATAACCACATCTTACTCGGTTTTCCTGGTCATACTAAAGAGTCTCGCCAAAGAGCGGACGCAGTCGATTTAGACATTTTCAGCTGTGGTAGGCGCTAACGGTCGCCCAGCTGACAATAAGACCAACTTTACTAAGTGAATTATCGGAACTAGTTTGGCGACTTGAAGTTGCTACTGAAAACTACAAAGAAAGGTAAGACTGGAAACCAGTTGGTTTGCAAAAGTGCGAAAGAGGAGCCAGCAGGGTATCAGAACTGGTCTTCTCCATCTATTCGCCTACCAGAATAGGTGTCAAATTTCTAGTGCTCGGTAACTATTAGGTTCGTAGTTTCTATGCCAAGAGGGACCACCTTCACTAGTCTCACCTACATTATTCTAATACCTGCTGTGTTCCAAATTCCAACAGTAGTAGTGTATCGGTAGCTTATTAAAGTCAAGGCCATATTTAGAATGTCAGCGTATTCTCCTTCTCACCAGCCAACCAACTGTCCTGGTGTTTATGAGCCTTAGAGCGCCTTTCAGTTTATTCGCGAGGGTATCTTTGGGCCGTTCCCCTCCCTAAATGATGTAAATTCAACAGTCATCTTCCCTTTGAAGGTCCCTATTACCCTTCTTCAGGTGGACTTCACGCTCCCTTTATGGCCAAGGGTAGGGCTTAAACTACGGGTGCTGTACACAAGAAATGTCCGATTGCATTGTTCTGAAGGTTTGAATAGACCCTTCGGCACTGAGACAGGATTCTTGGGTAGAGACTGGACCTTATACTTGTCAGATGAGATGACGGATACATAGAAATGTCACCGAAAAAGCCAGTGAGACCTGAATGTTAATTTATGACCGGCCATACCTCAATCTCGGACTGAGACTACCATTTTTAACAGTACTTTTCTAGACAAAACTTTTGCATTGATGAGTATTCGTCGCCATGCCACCCCGTACGATCCAAAATAAAAAAACGGAAATTCCCACCTCCTCTATGGTTGGTGGACGTCAGACCCAAGTCATTGTCGATGTAGATCAACGATGTAAGGCAGTATCGCGGTAATCACAGATGCGTGCTGAAAAAACTTCAATTTATTAGGGTGTAGGGGGAATTCAACGAGACAGTTTCTGTTACTCACATAGTAAGCCCTCGCATAAGGACACATATTCACAGTCCAACATTGTCCTGTTTCAGAACATCGAATATTTTTTTTGAAATCGTTGACATTTTGATGGCTTTTGTATTTTATGGTTGATATTTTGAGTTGGGCCTTAGTATCTTGATTGTTACTAATTCTGAATTTTGTGGTAAAACACGGAGACTAAAAACACTCCTTGCCCGTTTCGATTATTCTTGAGATAGGTGGACCACCCACTACGCGAAGATGCGTATTGTTTAAGGTGCCCACACTTGCGAACCAAAACTCTGCAGATTTAAGAGGTCTAACTTCGTCTTCTTGAGGCTGTATAAGATTTTAAAAAATCTCGATAGGAGATTGACGGAAAACCTGCGCTTGGATCCTCGTTACCACTCCTAGGCTCCGATGGGACGCAAGTATCGCTTGAAAGTTCCTTCTACGTACGCGTGTTTAACCTTGGGACCGGATGGACTTGTGATAGAGAGACGTTCACAGATTGGGTAACGGGACCCGTTCGTACCGTTGGGGCTTGGAGCTCAGTATAGAGTTTCCACAGGCAGTCGCTGGGCGACTTGTAAATAATGCAGAAGGGGACTACCACAAAAGACAAGGGAGACTGGAGTGGCCATTTCTGCCCTATTGGCAGTCATCAGCCACCCTTTCTCAACTCCAGGTTCGGGTGCACCTGCGGTTAATACGCCCGATCATAGCCGAGAGGACAAGATCCTCGTGGCTCAGTGGTTAGAGCGCTGGAGTTACTAGCACTTTATAACCAGGAGAACCTGCATCCGAACCTTGGCCCGATTCACGTGCAAGTCATGGTCATTACTGGAGATGGCCGTCGTTAAGAAATGCTCATTCGTTACCATAATGTATGGGAGAAAAAACAGAAGGTCTAACCTGTCCGTTGCGCAAGGTTGGACAAAATCGATAACCACACTGAGCTACGAGAAATCATCGGAGACCTTGATCTGAAATTGCCTGGCAGAACTCATTAGCGAGACCACTGAACATCCTACATACACCCTCCGTGGTTCGCATATTCCGCTTTTGGCTTATTTCTTCTCGTTAGCTGGCTATATCAAACCTCGGGCTTCGTGGTGAATAAAACGTCTTACGACTGAACTACGAACTGAAGACTTTTCATCTGAAATCGGGATTGTTCGTAGTCGCATGAAGGTATCATCATAGGTTTATGCGATTACAGGGCAAAATGCGGTCATTCTCTATAGCCGTGCAAATTTGGTCTGGAGTTCCCATCGACGGGCGAATAATATTGGGCTGTCCGTGATCGAGAGCCATTATTGACGAAGACTGGGAAGGCCATTTTCGAGCCACTGACCGCTGTTAGTCAGCAACAATACAATCCTATGGCTGGAATTCCCGAGAGCTTAACCAAACTCCAATTGAGCCTTAAGCAGCACCAGTGATTGCGAATTGGTTCACTCAGTGACTCTTGAAAATACTAATTCCTTTTTCTTCAGAAGCCAACAAATGACTGTCAGCAGCGGAGCCATTTCCAGTCGTGGTGCCTACTCAAAGAGTCATCCCTGTCTTCTAAAGCTGACAAGCACCACACCAGAAAACCAGATGTCCGACATTCGCCAATTTTGCTCCTATATGTATAATGAGCACCACAGCCACCAAGGGGCCAACGCAGCCGCAGCTATGTCTGGTGGAGTTCATCGCCATGGAGGACAACATCATGAAGCAGGGACAACACAGAGTGGTCAGTCCCAAGGTGAGACACCAACACCGTCTGCTGGTCGCCCCCTTGAAGACCAACGGCGATCGCGCCACAGCAGCGAGGACGTAGTCACACTTTCAGAATCGCCAGCCAAGGAGAACTCGTCCGCTGAGACGAGGAAGTAGGCACACAACCTGTTCCTTTTTGACTTTTTGTGCTCTTCTTCCCTTCCATGCAAAAACGGTCTAGTGTAAGTACCCAGCCAAACACACTGTGTTCAGTTCGAATACTACATTAGAACATTACTTCCCACCGATAAGCGAAACATGCTACTCCTCAAATGCTCGACCCTGTTTCGGCTTACTTTCACTGTTCAGTCAACCTACTTTCTCTCCCCGTCTCTCCTTAACTTCTTCCAAATTCGGCTCACATCCTCTCCAATGCCGCCTGAGTATCACTAGGCCGGCCCAACAAGGCACAACCTAATCACCAAACACCAATATTAAGGGATCGTTCAAAGTAGGAGTATTCTGGGCGGGGCGAATAAAAATAGCCGAAAAACGCCTGCATTAAAATATGCCAAAGTCCTGTAATCGCACAGTTTTTTTATTAAAATCCACTATATACAATGGCCGCGCGAAAGTCCACCAATTAATTTCTAGGTCATAGCGCATCCGTTAATTGCCGAATCGATCGGTCACAAAATCGACTAAAAACCAACTCTGCATACAAATCCAACTCTACCCAAGCAGCAGGCGAGTAAAAAGGCGTGGAGCTAGCGGCAGCTCGTGACCATGCGAGTATAAGAGGGCGATACAAAAATACAGACATGCCATGCTCGTATCGGCACTCGCAATCGAGTGCATTGTGAA